GGACCAAAAGTAATGGGACAATTGGCTTCTCAGCTGTTCCATGGCCAGGTGTGTGGTATTCCCTCATTATCCCAATTACAATGAGCAGATAAAAGGTCCAGAGTTAATTTCAAGTGTGTGCCATTTGCATTTGGTATCTGTTGCTTTCAACTCTCAAGATGAGAGAGAAAGAGCTGTCACTATCAGTGAAGCAAGCCATCATTAGGCTAAAAAAAACAAACCCATCAGAGAGATAACAAACATTAGGTGTGGCCAAAACAACTGTTTGGAACATTCTTAAAAAGAAGAAATGCACCAGGGAGCTCAGCAACACCAAAAGACCACGGAAAACTGTGATGGATGACCGAAGAATTCTTTCCCTGGTGAAGAAAACACCCTTCACAACAGTTGGCCAGATCAAGAACACTCTCCAGGGAGGTAGGTGTATGTGTGTCAAAGTCAACAATCAAGAGAAGCCTTCACCAGAGTGAATACCACAAGATGTAAAACCATTGGTGAGCCTCAAACAGGAAGGCCAGATTAGAGTTTGCCAAACGACATCTAAAAATCCTTCACATCCTATGGACAGATGAGACCAAGATCAACTTGTACCAGAATGATGAGAAGAGTATGGAGAAGGAAAAGAACTGCTCATGAGCCTAAGCATACCACCTCATCAGTGAAGCATGGTGGTGGTAGTGTCATGGCGTGGGCATGTATGGCTGCCAGTGGAACTGGTTCTCTTGTATTTGATGATGTGACTGCTGACAAAAGCAGCAGGATGAATTCTGAAAGTGTTTCAGGCAATATTATCTGCTCATATTCAGCCAAATGCTTCAGAACTCATTGGACGCCGCTTCACGGTGCAGATGGACAATGACCCAAAGCATACTGCAAAAGCAACCAAAGAGTTTAAGGGAAAGAAGTGGAATGTTATGCAATGGCCAAGTCAATCGCCTGACCTGAATCCGATTGAGCATGCATTTCACTTGAAGACAAAACTGAAGGGAAAATGCCCCAAGAACAAGCAGGAACTGAAGACAGTTGCAGTAGAGGCCTGACAGAGCATCACCAGGGATGAAACCCAGCGTCTGGTGATGTCTATGCGTTCCAGACTTCAGGCTGTAATTGACTGCAAAGAATTTGCAACCAAGTATTAAAAAGGTGAAAGTTTGATTTATGATTATTCTGTCCCATTACTTTTGGTCCCTTAACAAATGGGAGACATATGCAAACTGTTGTAATTCCTACACTGTTCACCTGAGTTGGATGTAATCACACTCTAATTAAAGCTGAGGGTCTGCAGTTAAAGCACATTTTGTTCGATTCATTTCAAATCCATTGTGGTGGTGTATAGAGCAAAAAATGTTAGAATTGTGTCGATGTCCCAATATTTATGGACCTGACTGTATATGGGCCTAACTGTATATGACATGAAGCCTTAGCTTGTGTCCCCCAAAATGCAGGTTGTGAACATTTCCCTTCAGGATCCTCTTCTGCATCTATCTCGTCCTCAATGAAGTTAGGATCAGGCTCATACTTCTGTATAACTTCAAGTAATTGAGAGTCAGAGCATATGCCATGTTTCACACCTGAAAATGAAGCTAACAGAGGAAGGGGGCTGTGTAAATATAGGACCTTGCTTTGGTGCAGGGGCAGCCATCACCTTTAGGATCTTGTGGTTTTCCTCAGGGCCATCTATAGATCAATTCGTTTTTCTCAGCTCCTCTGCTTTGTCACCATTGACAAGTGAGATCCGATACATTATGGGGGAATTCACAAAATTGTATAGATGCCATGCATTTTTGCATCTGGCAATACTATAACCCAGGCACTAACTGATGTCCTGTGGAGAAGCAGCTAGTACAAAGCAGAGACACAAACATGTTTTTTGCATTCACAGCTGAAGGCAATGGTAACTGGTATCAACAAAATGTTGCATTTGAAAACCCACCACAAAAAAAACCCTGCTTTTTTTTTTAACCTTAATTCCAGGACTGCTGGCAGGGGACCCAAAAAGTAGAGGATTGTGGCTGCTCTGTGCAAAACAGAAACTGTCTTACCTTATCCATGCTTCAGGCTGCTGAAGAGGACCAAACTTGACCCCTTTTTGTGTTATGTCCACCATGATAGGTATTCAGGAGTATGGTTACCACGGGAATGGACCACAGACTCAAACAGTATAGCACCCTGCAGCAAATGACACTCCTAGCACTATGTGCCAAGGTGAGTAGTGAGCACAAGATCCAGTTCCCAATGCATACATTACAGGCCAGCCCTGCTGATGCAGGCTTCAGGTACAGTTTCAAGATATAAGTCAAGACAACTAATCTGGAAGAAGCTTGTGAGTTGAGGCAATAAGCAGTTCATGTTTATATAAGTCAGTTGAAGCAGTATAGAGAAAAAAAAAAAAAGTATATACAAATTTCAAAATAGAGATCACCTAAGCACACCAGCAGAAAACTGGAGTCTCATGAAGTGAATGAACATACAATGCAAGCAAAGCTTTCACTTGGCCCATTGTGAAATGTGTGGAATTTACAGAAGTCAAGAGATTGGAAGTTAGCTCTTAAGTGGGAACCAAAAGAATTCCTTTTGGGACATTAATACGTCTTCCAATATAATCAAAGATCAGTCACCATCTATTGATTCTCATATGTATTTGCACTTTAACCACTTGCCCTCCAGAGGATTTAACCCCACTTCCTGACCAGGCCATTTTTTGTGTTATGGCGCTGCGTTACTTTGACAATTGCATGGTCATGCAACGCTGCACCCAAATGAAATTTACATCCTTCCCCACAAGTAGAGCTTTTTGGTGGCATTTGATCACCTCTGCATTTATTTGTACTATTAACACAAAAAAAAAAAAAAAAAAAAAAAAATGGAATCTAGTCATAATTTTAGGCCAAAATGTATTCTGCTACAAAAACAAAAAAAAACAAATGTGTTAATTGGTTTACAAATGGCAGTATAAATAATGGAATTTTTCCCCTTTTTTAATATTTACTAGTAACTGCAGCAATCAGCAACTTATATACAGACACTGGCAGGCATTCTGAAACTGGGGGGGACTGTCAGACATCCCCAGGTGACACCAATACAGTGATCAGTGCTAATAAAAAGCACTGACTGTACTAATGGCACTGGGCAGGAAGGGGTTAACATCTGGGGCAATCAAAGGGTTAACTGTGTGCTGGGTGTGTTTCACCATGTGTGCTTCACTGCAAGCACACTGCTTTGCATGGCTGTGCACAAGCTGACAGGGAGAATAACTGTTTTGTTTACCAACAGTTCTCTCCCCACCCTGACGGAGATCCTCGGCAAACACCAGGCGGAGGAGAGTAATCACTGGCTGGGACCGGGTGATTGACATCCACCAATGGCGGCGCGGGAAGGGCATGTGCCCTTACCCAGAATGCAAAAATCGCGTATCTATACACGATTTTGAGCACCCGTGTCACCCTGTAGCAGTATATCTGCTATAGGGCAGACGGGAAGCAGTTAAGCACTTTCCAGATTGTCCATACACAGGCTAATTTATGAAAGTTGCTCAACTTTCACATTTTGAAACTTGTTTTTACTTCATTTGGGATATATTCACTATACAACAGTAAATAGCGCTACACTCTGGGTAAAGCGAACAATTTGGGATACAAATTAAAAGAATGATTCACTCATATTTCCTCTTGACCCCAGTGAAGAATTTTGTCTATATGCTTAAAATGTAGCAGCATATAATCGCTGACCTACAACTACACATCCTCTGTCCTGCACAGTACAATTAAGATGTTCTGTTTCTAGCAAATGGGATCCTTTACTAAAACAAAAAAATTCTTTAACAGAAGCTGCTCTCTTTGCAAAGGTTATCCTGAACCTATGTAAGCTTCAAAACACCTAATCATGTACTAGCAAAATGTTTGATTCTCACTTACATGGGGGTACACCAGACAGTACCTACAGTTTAAAAAAAAAAAAGTCAACTCACATTTTTATAAAATAAATGCAATGTTTACATACAAGTATAGTGTACTGTCCCCCTTTTGCTCCATCTTACATGCAAGCTCTCGACATCTACCTGCAGACATTTAGCTGTATGGGAAATGTGAGACAGCAAAGCATGGGACTGAAACAGCAAAAACTCTCCCCCCCACTTTGGATAGAGCAAGGGAGGGTTAAAACCCATCAGATATTTGCCATCTGTGTCCCATAGGGCGATTTCCCTTCATTTCCTGTCCATAGCCAAAACAGGAAGAGGAAAGTCCTCCAAAATAAGAGATTCCCAGGGTGTCACCAGGGTCACTGGAACTAGTGTCCCCCATTAAAAGATTTCACATTACGGTTCTAGGACAACCCAAAATGTGTGACCTCATTGTTTTGGTAAAGGAAAATAGTACAAGAAAATTGTATAATGTATGGCCAACCTTAACTGTACATTTTAAAGCTACATTTAGCTCAATGTCTCACTATGTACCTTTTTTTGGGAATCGGCTGCTAAGTGTATATAAACCGATATATTTCACACAACCATTAAAAGCAACAAGATCGAGAAGACTTTAAACATTTGTTTATTTAAAAGTGGACATACATGAACAGCATACAAACTACTGCAAAACTTCTCCACAATCTGTGGCAATCACATTTGATTGCAGTTGCTGCCAATGCCGGAAACTCCAGAGACTAGCATCACATCTATAGACGTCAATTTTTTTGTACTTAAAGTGCAGGTTGTAAAAAAGTGCCATACTTCAGACATGGGACTCAATAGTGATTATGGAACATTTTGCAATGCCTTTTAGCAACTGATTCAAGAATATACACCTGGTGATCATTTGTGACCAAACCACAGAACTTACCACTTTTACAAACTGTAATACAAACAAAAACATTCTATAGCTTAATTAAATATTCATAAACCAACACAAATCAGGTCCCCAGTTCTACATAAGGCAATGAAGGATCCAGGAAAAAAGTGCTTTAAGTTGCTTGCATACTGGCTTTGGACGTGTATTCTAGAGCATTCACATAGCACTGAGGCACCATTCAAGGGATGTCCCTCCAGGTTCCAGTCCAACAAGTGGTTCCTGAAACACTGCAACAAGAACAGTCTTACCACTAATAGAACACATAACAGATAGTTTGACACGTGAAGTAAAAACACTAATGTTTTCAATGGCACATTGCAAACCAACGCAATGCTAGTTTTAGATTTGCTAAAAATAAAGTAATATGCTTAACACCATAAGGAGTCTGTGGTCTCCAAAGTTGCCTATCCATCAAATCCTCAAAATGAATGCCTGGTACTTAAAATATTGGGATACATCCAATACCCCCCCTGCTCCACCATGAAGGCCTGAGTGATGTTACACAGGAGCCAGGAGGATCTTGCTGACCTAAAGTAAAATTACTCAACAAATGTAAAGCAAACAATGCAAATTCTGTCTTCCCCCCCTACGAAGACCCATTTTCCAGGTCACATTTATGATGACATTCATATGACAAAAAAAAAGGAGTCTATTAGGTGGTTTTGTTAGGGGTTGCATATAGGCAGCACATTGTCTATCAAGTGCAGTCATTGCTGCTACCTTAACCATTTGTGAACCAAGGTCTCTAGGTTCAACCTGCAGGACTTTAAGCGTTGTTTGAGAACTGTGGGATTGTTTAGGGGTCATTTAAAGAACTGAACACCAATGATGGGCTCTGGTTTTTACATGGTCACCAGAGTGTTGGATTGTTGTGGGGTGATGAGCCATTTAAGGGTTCCGCTCCCCCATCTAGCAATTGTGCACAGTGCAAATTCATCCTACAGGGAACTTCCACCAATGGAACACTTCCACTTGATGACCAAGGCTAATAGCATCTTAACCTCTTGCCAACCATGCTATAGTCAAATGACAGCTACTGCGCAGTTCTGGGAGGGAGTCATGACGTCCTCCCAGAAAGCGCCCTCCCGTACGCCCCGGCCAATCACAGCGGCCTTTTATCACGTGATCAGCTGTGTTCAATGACACAGAACACAGAGCAAATACAGTTGCTGGTTATCGGCAGCACCTTCCTCACAGCACAAGTACGGCTGATAACCGGCAATTGTGAGAATTCGGCACTGATTATCAGTGCCACCTGTGCCCTCCAGAAATGCCCATCAGCGCTTCCTATCAGTGCAGCCTCAAAACACATCAGTGAAGGAGAAAAATCACCTGTTTCCAAAATTTTATAATATAAAAACATTTTTCTACAAATTTTTTGCTTTTTGTTTATAGTGCAAAAAATAAAACCAGTGGCGAATACCACCAAAAGAAAGCTATTGGTGTGAAAAAAAAAATTTCCATATGGGTACAGTGTTGTATGACTGCACAATCATTCAAAGTGTGACAGCGCTGAAAGATGAAAATTGGCCTGGGCACAAAGTGGGTAAAAGTGCCCAGTAGGCAAGTGGTTATTTTTTTATCCATCTCAAAACTGGCATATTTCTTGGTTTACAAGAAATTGTGGCAAAAAAAAATTACTTTTGGGTGACTTAAGGGGTAATTTTTAGACGCATTTGTACTGTCCTGACATTTGTTTTATACTAGAAAGGGAAGCAAGGCTTTTCTAAAGTTTTTGTTCTTTTCCCCTTTAAATAGCAAGTCATAAATCCACTGGTTATACACAAAAAAAAAAAAAAAAAAAAAAAAAACACAACCTTTATCTGAAAGAAACAACTTTATCCCAAAGCACCTATGAAATCTGCTTTGATAGTTCAAGTTGTGATACCTCAGTGATAGGTGAATCATTTCACTTTAGTCCCAGCTACAAAACCTATAATATATTTTGCACTATTCACAGATGTTAGACTAGGGCAATGTGTTAGAGTTAACTCACTGTTGATATCATAGACAGACTCTGGATCCAGAAGCATTGGTGAGGGCAAGATGAGGTCTTGAGACCACTCGACATTTGAAAAAGTAAATGAATTGGATTCTGGTGAAGAGTTGCTGCTAGCCATGGTATCAGATTCATCAGTGCTTGACCTCCGGCACAGAGCACAGCTGGTTGGAGTCACACCTGGACCTCTAGGAAAGAGATCTTCATTTCGAAGGTAACTCCTGAGTGCCCCACTATGGTGTATTGGACGGTTACGGAGCCACGCCCAATGAGAGGAATCTTTAGACATCACCTGAAAGCAAAAATGCCTTTATCTTCATGACTCATCAGATGAACCCATAAAAGACTTATAAACTTGCCTCATCACAGCACTTCCTGCTCACAACTGCTCTGTATTTCATTCTGGCCCACAAGTTGTCTCGGCGTTGTAGAAACTGGGGGTAGCTCTCACGCCATGTTTTCACCCAAAGCCCATGGAAATATTTCATATTTGTAATCCTCTTCATCCTCCTCCATGTCATTTGCAAGGTATCTTGAAGAAAATCCAATGTAACAGATCAAGTTATTACCCTGTTCATAAGCACCATTTTTTTCAGCTTCTCTGAACATTAGAAAAAGTAGATTATACTTTAGTAATCAAGGTATCCCTAAACAAGAACATGCTCAGCAGACCATGCAATAAAACCTTCAGTGATTTGAACAAAAACAAGATCATAACTAGCAAACATACAACAGGTTTAGGATTTCTTGAATGGGCACAAAATAGCCACATAGCATACAAAATAACCCAAAACCAGACCAGTGAAATAGAAAGAAAAGATAGTTTTTCTATTCTTCTTACTGAACATGGGAAGTTTAGACAGGTCATAGATGAGCAAGTTAGATAGACCAATTTTCACATCAGTGTGCCTGCTGCAACAGAACAAACATGTTGGAAATTTCTTTTCAGAATGAATGATTTTCTGCTAGAGACGGGAGACATTGGAAAAGGGGGGGGGGGGGGGGATATTTGCACAACAGCCATCTATTCAGATCATCCGCTTTCAATAAATATATCATTGAGGTGTTTAGTTGCCTTTTAAGCAAAAAAAAAAAAAAAAAAAAAAAAAAAAAAAAAAAATGCAGATTTGAAGGAGGAAAATGGCGTTATTATACAGTATTTATATAGCGCCAATAGTTCGCCCAGTACTGTACATTACAATGGGAGACAATACATGAGAGTACAATGACAATACAGTGTGATACATGAGGGGTTCGAGGGCCCTGCTCCTTGGAGCTTACAATCTAGGAGGGAGGGGATAGTGGTACGGGAGGAAAAGCTGTGGGAGATGGAGTGGTGGGAAGAGAAGAGGAGATCGGCAGTTAGCAGGAAGCGGGGTAGGCTTCCCTGAAGAGGTGGGTTTTCAGGGTGTGCCTAAAGGAGAGGAGAGTAGGTGATAGTCTGATGGATTGGGGTAGGGAGATCCAGAGGATGGGTGATGCCCTGGAGGAAGAGACCAGGGAGCTAGAGAGAAGCAGGTCTTGTGAGGAGTGGAGAGTGCTTTTTGGGTGGTATTTGGATATTAGGTCGGAGATGTAGTTTGGGGCGATATTATGGACAGCTTTGTATGTCAGTGTTAACATTCTGAATTTAATCCGTTGGGCAATCGGAAGCCAGTGGAGGGATTGGCAGAGGGGGGTGGCAGAAAAAGAGCGGTTGGTAAGGTGAAGTCTGGCTGCCGTATTCAGGACAGACAGAAGCGGGGATAGCTTGCGGTGAGGGAGGCCAGTGAGGAGGGAGTTGCAGTAATCGAGTCGTGATATGATGAGGGCGTGGATGAGCTGCTTAATGGTTTCCAGGGTTAGGAATGGGCGTATTCTGGCGATGTTGGAGGTGGAGTCGGCATGAGTTTGTTAGCGATTGGACTTGGGGATGGAAGGATAGATTGGAGTCAAGAAAGACTAGGAGCGGTTTTGGAGAGGTTCAGTTTAAGGAAGTGGAGCGACATCCAATCTGATATGTCGTTCAGTAGGCTAGTGATTCGGGCGGAGAATGAGGGGGGGTGTCGAGAGATAGATGTGTGTCGTCGGCATAGAGGTGGTAGTTGAAGCCGTGGGAGTGTATCAGGTGGCCAAGGGAGGAGGTGTAGATGGAGAAGAGAAGGGGCCTGAGGACCGAGCCTTGAGGGACCTCGACAGAGGGGGAGGGAGGGGGAGGTGGTAGCATTGTAGGCAACGCTGAAGGAGCATTGCGATAGGTAGGACAAGAGCCAGGAGAGAGCAGAGTCTGAGGCCAAGGGAGTGTAATTTTTTCTGAGGGGGTGGTCAACTGTCAAAAGCCGCAGAGAGGTTGAGGAGTATGAGCACTGAATAGTGGCCATTAGCTTTGGCGGTTAGTAGGTCATTGGTTAGTTTAAGTAAGGCAGTTTCGGTGGAGTGTAAGGGGGCAGAAGCCGGACTGTAGGGGGTTGAGGAGGTTGTTGTCATTGAGGTGGGAGCTTAGGCGATTGTAGACTAAGCGCTCAAGGAGTTTGGATGTAAATGGCAGCAGGGAGATGGGTCTAAGGTTGTTCGAGTCAGTGGGGTCGAGGGAGAGCTTTTTGAGTATGGGAGTGATGTGTGCGTGCTTCAGAGGGGAGGGGAATGTGCCAGAAGAGTGAGAGATTAAAGATGTGGGTGAGGGAGCGTAAGCTGGAGGAGGAGGGAGGTCGTAGGAGCTGAGAGGGGCCAGGGTCGAGGGGGCAGGTGGTGAGGCGGGCTTCTTACTTAATTTTTCTTACTAAATAATTTTATTCCAAAACACCTGTATCTTTGAACACTCCCACCACATGTGATATGTCGTACCAACTTCTCTACACCCTCTCCAACACAACGGTGAAATCTCCCCATTCAATTTGTGTTCCACATTCGGTGTAATGTGCCATCTAACTAAACACTTGTAGTTCAACTCTACTTCCCGCATGCTAAAATTTTTGTGTATTAATCTAAACATTTTCTTCTGCTGCTCCTCATCTATTTCCCTTCCCATTTCTCTACATAAATTAATTTTGCGCCCGTGTCCAATTCCATTAATATTCTATATATTTTTGCAACAGTGTCTCCCATCTCCCCATGTTTCTAGTAATCTTTCAAATAAATTCCACTCCTTTCTAGTTCTCACCGGTTTTGGGAGACTCAAAGAAATGTTTCAATTGATATCTTATCTCATCCATTCTACTAAAAACCTCCCCCTTTTTTTCTCCAACTCTCTATATGTACCTATTTCCTCACCCACCATTATATCTCTTAATTGCGCGTCCTGTTTTATGATCCATTTCCCTGTGATATCTTCCTTCCTGGGAACGAAATAGTCTGTATTTCTTAGTGGCATTAACTGAGTTAAAAACCCATCCCTTTGTCTGTGTAACATTTCCCAAACTTTTAAAACAAAAGTGTACACACTTGTATTAACATCTAATCCTCTATATTGTGCTGGTAGCCATATAATCCTACTTATATTTGTCCTACTCAGTGTGTTTTCAATTTTAACCCAGCTTTTCCCTGGGTTATGAGTCCAGTCATAAATTCTCGCAATTATCACCGCTCTATAATATATCTTAAAATCTGGGAGTCCTAAACCACCTCTTTAGTTCTAGTCAACATTTCATAACATATTCTAGGTTTTTTATTCCTCCATATATACCTCAACATTATTTTTCTAAGTGTTTTAAAGAAAACCTCTGGAAGTTTAATTGGGATCATTTGAAATTTATAAAAAAAAAAAAAAAAAAAAAAAAAACTTTGGGCACAATTATCATTTTTATTAAGTTTATACGACCCATCCAAGACGGATTAACACTCCCCAACCTCTTAAACTCCTCCTTGATCTCATTTAAAAGCGAAATATAGTCAATTTTATACATATTTTTATTTGAAACAGACAATTTTATCCCGAGGTACTTTAATTCTCTCTCTCCAAACAAAAAAGGGAATAATTCTTGTATTTTTTTTCTGTCACTATTTAAGATTTATATTTAAAATTTCAGTTTTTGTTGGATTAATTTTTAAGTTTGATAATTCCCCATATTACTTCAGTATTTATTAAATTTGGGAGTGATATCCGAGGGTTTCCAACATAGAACATTAAATCATCCGCATAGGCCGCTACTTTGTGTTCTGTCTCCTATCTTTATTCCTTTTATATTTATGTTCTCTCATCATAGACAGCAGTGGCTCCAACGATAAGATATACAGCAGTGGAGATAGAGGACATCCCTGTCTTGTTCCATTTGACATCCTAAAAGTCTCTGATCTTCCTCCATTAACCATAACAGTAGCAGTAGGCCCTCTATATAGGTCCTACCAATCCACTTCCTCATTCTATCTCCCAACCCCATCTCCTCCAGGGTGTCCATCATAAATCTCCAACTCGCTATCAAATGCTTTCTCAGAGTCTATTGACAGCAATATTACTGGGGTTTTCCCCTTTCTTCCCTTCCTGAATGAGCAACAGTGATCTCAATCCGGTCTCTACCCTCTCTTCCCGGGACAAAACCCCCTGATCCCCGTGTATCCATTTTGGCATCAAGACTTTTAGTCCATTTGCCAGGACCTTTGCATAAAGTTTACAGCTGTTCTAAGGTGAACTCCAAAGTGTAAAGATCACACGTCCAGTAAATGTCTTGGTTTGTCAGTAGTATAGCCAGTTAACGTGTTCAACACCAAGTGCTGCAATATAGTAAAAGCCATTAGCTAAACGTCTAAAGCCTCTGCAACAGACTATCCCAACATATAGACAAAGTCGTGAAAGAGGCTAACACTGGCAGTAAGAGACGGACAACACCGGAAGTACATTGGTGCTACATTCTGCAAAGGACTTCTTTTTTGGTCTAGTGTTGCAGCCAATTAAATTAGGAGTGTTACCATGTGGTAAAAAGCCATTACATAAAGCACTTAAACTCACATCAGAACATACAGAGCAAGTAATTTAAGACTAATATTGTGGTATAGGATAACACCCAATAAAGTCTGTACAAAAACGGCACAGCCCATGCCCTGTAAAAAGCCAATAACTAAACAACTCTGCAGACACTACTAACATGTAAGAGACCCCTGCTACCAAACACGATTGTTCCTAGAAAGCCCCACTGCTGTGTTGCCACACCTGAACACCATAATTCCCCCCCCCCCCCCACCATTTAGCAAGTTACATTTTGAAATATATAAAAAGGTCCCCTAACAAATACATAAAATAGGGACCCAATGTAGGGTCTGTAAATATATCCAAAAAGGCACTGCACAATGCATAAGGACATAGAAGTGGTGTAGATAATCAATACAACAATCCACTTGTAAAGACATGAGGCAAGGACAATGAACCTGAGGCCTCTGTCACAAGTGGACAATTACCCATATTAGCCCAGGTTCACATCAATGCGTTAAGTGGACTGTAGTGCATTTCTGCAAAAAGCACTAAACAATGGTTTCCTATGGGACATGTTGACATCTATGTCTTTGGAAGGGGGCAGGGACTTTTAAAACAAACTACATTTTTGGTTCAATA